GCGCAGCCACGCTTCCCAAGCGGCGCACTAGCGCAGTGCGCCACTGGGCCGGCCCAGAAAACCTATTCTTGATAGGGACATCAGCATAGTTAATAACTTTCAAATAATATCTTCTGGTAATGCTTCAGAATACAGAGCTAGTATAAATAAATAAAATATATCCATTTTAGAGTCTCTTAAAATAAATCAACCCCCAACAAAGAAAGCATACCTAAAAATAGATACAATCAGAGATGGAGATGGTGATAGACAAAGAAACACAGACAAAGGTAGAGATACAGTTGGTTTTCACTTGTGGAAGACTTGTCCTTCAAAAACATTTGAAGATGTTTGCAGGCATTTGGGGGGTCACAACTGGAGCCTGGGTGCTACTGGCTTCTAAATGTTAGAGCCCGAGGGTGCTGCTAAATGCCCTACTGTGTTAAGGAAACGAAAAATTTCAACAAGGCCAAGGTTGACAAATCTTGATTATACAGGTATAGATATAGAAACAGGTAAAGGTATAGGGAGGGAGGGAAGGAGAAAAAGAAAGAGAGAGAGAGAGAGAGANAGCTCAACCAGTCAACTACACTACAACATTCCCTTAATTTTTATGTTTGTAATTTATCTCTCCATCATGGAAGGCAAATCCTTTAACTGTTATGTTCATAAATGTTTATTCAGCATGTAGATTTGTGACTGGTATGTAGAGGGTGATATAATTAGAGATAATTATATGTAGAACCTATTTGTGCTTGCTATTCTTTCTAAATGCAGAGTAAAGTTTGATGTTTATAAAATAATTTATCAAAATCACATTGTGCATAAACTTTAACACAAAATATTGGATAATTTCTTCCATGTTCTTTGTAGGGCGTATTTTATGTCCTTGTTCCTCAAGCTATAGATCAAAGGATTCAACGTGGGTATAACCAGGGTGTAAAATACAGAAGCCAGTTTATCAGTGTCAGAAGAGTGACTGGACTTGGGCTGCACATACATGTATATCAAAGTCCCATAGAATGCTATGACCACAGTCAGGTGGGATCCACAGGTGGAGAAAGCTTTTTGCCTAGATTCAGCAGAGTTCATCCTGATAATGGCTATGAGGATGAGCAGGTAAGACACAACACCTATATAAAGGGATGAAATTGAATTAAAAGCTGAAAAGACAAGAATTATCAATTCAAGCTCATGCGCGTTAGAGCAGAGCAAAGATAATAAGGGGATACAGTCACAGTAGAAATGACGAAGGACATTGTACCCACAAAAGGATGAAGTGAAAATCTTTATTGTAACTAAAAGAGAAAGAAACGTGCTGTAGAGATAGGGTATTGCCACCAGCACCCGGCATACTCTCTGTGACATGATGACTGTGTAGAGCAGAGGGTTATATATGGCCACATAGCGGTCGTAGGACATTGCTGAGAGAATATAAAGTTCACTAACAATAAAAATGATGTAGAAAGCTCCTTGCATGGCTCAGAGATGATAGGAGATTGTATTCTGATCTACAACAAAATTTACTAATATTTTGGGTCCTACAGTTGTTGAATAACCAAGATCAGAGACAGCCAGATATCTGAGAAAGTAGTACATGGGGGTTTTCAGCCTGGAGTCCACCTTGGTGAGGATTATAATGCCCAAGTTGCCGATCACTGATATTATGTAGATGATGAGGAACAGCCCAAATAATGGAGCCTGCAGCTCAGGGCAATCACTGATGCCCAACAGAATGAATTCATTCCCCACTGTAAGGTTGTGTTTTTCCATCCAGGTGTATCAGAAAACCTATTCTTGATAGAGACATCAGCATAGTTAATAGCTTTCAAATAATATCATCTGGTAACGCTTCAGAATACAGAGCTAGTATAAATAAATAAAATATTTAGAGTCTCTTAAAATAAATCAACCCCCCACAAAGAAAACAGACCTAAAAATAGATAAAATCAGAGATAGTGATGGTGATCGACAAAGAAACGCAGACACAGGTAGAGATACAGTTGTTTTTCAGTTGTGGAAGACTTGTTCTCCAAAAAACATTTGAAGATGTTTGCAGGCATTTTGGAGGTCACAACTGGGAGCCTGGGTGCTACTCTAATTGTTGGAGTCCAAGGGTGCTGCTAAATGCCCTACTATATTAAGGAAACCATTCCACAACAAAGAATTATTCAGCCAAAAATTTCAATATGGCCAAGGTTAACAAATCGTGATCATATAGGTATAGATATAGAAACAGGTATAGGTATAGGTATAGATAAGTGAGAGAGAGGGGGGGAGAGAGAGAGAAAAAGCAAAGGTGAAAATATGGTTGTAACTTTAGGTGTTAGGTGTGTAGATGATTGTTCAAGTTTTCTGCTTGTCTTCTGTGTAATGAAAATTACATAAGTACATTAGCTTGGTCTGATGAGTTTATTTAGATCGAAGAGCTTGGTGTGATGAGTTTAATTAGATCGATGGTCTTGGTCTGATGAGTTTACTAAGATTGATTAGCTTGCTCTGATGAGTTTACTTAGATCCATGAGCTTGGTCTGATGAGTTTACTTAGATCAATTAGCTCTGTCCGATGATTTTACTTAGATTGATTAGCTTGGACTGATGAGTTTACTTAGATCGATGAGCTTGGTCTGATGAGTTTACTTAGATCGAAGAGCTTGATCTGATGAGTTTACTTAGTTTCATGAGCTTGGTCTGATGAATTAACTTAGATCAATTACCTCTGTCCGACGAGTGTACTTAGATCGATTATCTTGGTCTGATGAGTTTACTTAGATGGAGAGAGAGAGAGAGAGAGAAATATAGCGAAAGCAAAATATGGTAGTAACTTTACGTGTTAGGTGTATAGATGATTATTCAAGTTTTCTGCTGTCCTCTATGCAATGAAAATTACGTAAGTACATTCACATAATTACAGTCACATAAGATGATATGATACATATATTTATTGCTTAATAACATTTTAAAACTCATATTACAATCATGTGTGTAAATCTTTAGACCGCCTTCACATTACACATAGTCCTATGAAATCCCTTATGCCTACAGGTGGTATAGGAGGAAACAATTACCACACTTGAGAGATATTGGACAGAAAATGATAAATAAGAAAATTCTAACAAATCATAGTAGAGATTATTTATTTTTGTTCAGGGAAACATCCCAGGAAATATACACATGTAGATATAGTTTCTGCCATACCTACATTTGTGATATATTCAAAGGAGTATTGGGACAAATTATATAAATCATCTTAATCTCTTTATCTGCATCAACCAAATCAGCTCTTCACTGTAGTGTTCTTAAGAAACTTTAGATACAGTGAAATGTTTTAATGTATTTGTGGTAACTAGAATTATTCCTTAAATATCAAGTACATGGTGAGCTTTCTGTTGTATTTTATTTTGTTTTGTTTTAATTGAAGACAATGTGTCACCTGAAATGGGTATTCTTTATGTAATACATATAAATTATTCATGTGTGAGTTAACTTCTTTGTGGGGACTGTGGTAACTATTTGATAGAATAATGTGTTATCCAGGTAGCTGACCCCAGTACCTGACTTCCCCCAACTTCATAGCTTAATTGGATTGTCAACATGCTGATTTTGGGATAAATTATCTCCTATCTTATTAAAAATATTTAACATAAATTTACCTAAAATCTAAAGTATATCCTCATCCCCTAGGCATTTATGTTATAGTTAACATATATACTAAATTGTTGGTAACACATCAGATATGTTTTGTAATGGAAGGATGCAGGAAACTGAGCAGATTGGGAGAAAGTGAGGTCACTGGAATTGGTTTTCTGTACTGAATTTTCACAAAAATTCTTTTCAAATAAATATATCCATTACCTTAGAGAAAGAAATAGATTTTATTTTTTTTTATTTTTTTTTAATTTTTTATTTTGTCAATATACAATGTATATGATTATTATGGCCCACCAAGAAATAGATTTTAAATTGTTCTATGCATAAAAACAATCTGACAAGATAAAATATACTGACAACTCTATATGTGTGTATGTGTGTGTGTGTATTATACATATATATACATGGATTTTGAGATGCTATTTTGTTTGTCTGCAAATAAGGCCAAAATAACTCATTCACACTATGATTTGTAATATTAGATAATGTTGAAAACTGAGGTATAAAATAATGTATATAAATATCCCTACTATGCCACTATTTAAAGAAAAAAAAAATACCAGAGTAGAAAGAGGATGGCAGGCAAAAAAAAAAAAAGGATAGTAGCTACAAAAAATTGTGAACATCAATGAATGCTTCCTCAAAAAGAAAAAAAAATAGAATTGATTCTCAGTATGAGGAAAATATTACTTTCACGAGACTCTGAGTGATCTATTAGAAAGCAAAAAGAAGAAAAGGATTTTATAGCTCTAAGCTGTGAAAGTACTTACAGGAAATCCCGCTTATCTAACATAAAGCACTGCTCATAAGGCTGTGAGCTTTTGATATCCTACCCTGTCACCATCCATGTATCTTTCTTATGTCAGAAACATTGAGTCACAATTGGAAAAAATATATATTTTAATGGGTGTAATAAGAACAATATAAGTCTTGTTTAGTAGCTATGATAAAAGGCTAAAGGAAAAATTTACATTGGTAAGTATTGATTTTTTCTATAAGACAAATAAGGAAGAAGAGCTTTTCCCCACCAGTTTTAGAGTTCTATGGAAAGTATTAAATTAATCTTTCATAGTTTAGTTTCTGGGTTTATTACCTGGTTTTTCAGAGAGTTCTGTCTGCTTTCTGTCAGAATCCACTGGAAACTGAACATGATGTTCACTGTACCATCACTATCCAAGGTACTTAAAAGACTCCTAACCTCCAAATCTTGCTTTCAGTATCTCAGTGTGATGTATAACCCCCCCCCTTTTTTTCTCATCAAGATATCAGAAAAAAAATCCACAATTATTCATTTTTTAAATATTTATTAATTATTATGATATTTTTGAGAAGACTTCTTGAAGAGCCTTGAGTTACCAAAATGACTAAGAATTTGGAAAAATATCAAATTGGAGACTGAATACTTGAAAATTCATAATTCTACTAAATGTATATTTTTAGTTCCTTAATTTTTAGTTAGGTTTTATTTACTTTTATTTTGGCCTATTGTCCATGTAATTAAATGTTTATAAGAAACATAAATACTACATAAGCCATGTAATGATGACATATCAAAGTGCTTATTAGCATTTGTAAAAATATTTGAAAATTAATCTGAAGAAAAACAAGAGCAGTCCTCTTCTGCTCAGGTATTATCAAGTTCTTGATCGCACACAAAAGTGAATCAGACATTCCGGTATCTTCCCATGGCTTTGCCATGGAATAAAAGAGTTGTCTTGCATATGCCACTGGAACTTTAGATATTTGGGTATTGGCAACATAAGGCATCATGTGAAACATAAATATTCTGTTTTTACCTGCAATGAAGCCTCTTTCTTGACTGGCCTACGTGATCTTCAACATAAGATAGTGAGAGCAGGGCCGGCCCGGTGGCGCACTGTGCTAGTGCGCCGCTTGGGAAGCGTGGAGGCGCTCCCGCCGAGGGTTCAGATCCCACATACAGACCGGTTCCCGCTCACTGGCTGAGTGAGGCACAGGGGCAACACCGAGGGTTGCGATCCCATTGCCGGTCCCGGTCCGGTACGGGGGTGACACTGAGGGTTGCGATCCGTTGCCGGACACAGAAAAAGACAAAAAAAAAAAAAAAATAGTGAGAGCAATTTATACATTTGTTCCCACCCTTTCAGATTCTCCCTGAGGAAATGCAAGCAATTTGTTGATCACCCCGGAAGCATTTGGAAACTTATCAAGAATGCAGCGGACTGCTTATTAATTGCCCAGATTAATTTCTAGTCACCATAAATGAGATTTGTATGTTTGTTTGCTTATTGAATTCCTACCTTTTATTCTTGATTAGTTTTTTTCTTCTTTTTTCTTTTTTCTTCATTATGATGTTTAACTTTTTATGTATACATTTGGCTACGCTATTCGTTCCAGTTGTTTCGTCAATCATCAGTCTGTTTGTTATTGTGCTGGCATTTTTAAAGATGTAATAAAAGTTTAAATTGGTAGACTTTGAGTTCAGCTGATGGCCCTTCAGAGAGTGGATGGGCTTCATCCAATTAGTTTAAGGGCTTGAGATCAAAGACTAAAGTCTCCCAAAGAAGAAGAGATTCTTCCCGCAGTTGAGACAATGAAATTCTTCCTGAGTTTCCGACCTTTGTACTCAGGAGTCCAGCCTTAACTCTTGCCTGAATCTCCAGGCTGCCAGCCTGTCCCCTGGGTTTCTGTCCTGCCAGCCCCCATGATAACATAAACCAAACCCTTAAAATCTTATGTATTTATACATACATGTGACCACAGAAAGAGTAATTCGTTGTTCATATCTTTCCACTCATTTCATAATGAATTGTCATCATCTGTCTGTTTAGGATTCTCTTTTGTTATTTGCCTTAGTAGTATTTCAATATTTCTTTTTTCCATAATGTGTAACACCCACTCCTCTTATTCATTGTTGCCCACCTGGATACATATTCTACTGTGCTTTATATAAACTTTGCATTCTTAGTATATCTGACTAAAATGTATGTTTACGTGCATTGTTGTACTATGCATTTGTTATTGTGCTGTAAATGTAGTGTTGAATTTTAAATCACAGTATTTGTCATGTATTCATGTTGTGAACTTATATGATGTGTTTTTCTATTATTTCCTTTTCTTTTGTTTTTGGTCTCATTTCTTGG